GAACGGCTAATACTAATATTCCTCAAAGTGATTCCATACAATAGAATCAGAAGGGTCATAGCCAAACACTTTTTTATGAGGCTACAATTACCCTGGTACCCAAGCCACACAAAGACACAACTGAGACTACAGACTAATGTCCCTCATGAACACTGATGCAAAAATACTCAATAAAATTCTGTCAAATCAAATCCAAGAACACATCAGAGAAATCATCCACAATGACCACATAGGCTTCATCCCAGGTATGCATGGGTGTTTCAACATACAAAAGTTTATCAAAGTAATCCACAATGTGAACAGTCTGAAAAAGAAAATCATATGGTCAACTCACTAGATGCCGAAAAAGTCTTTGACAGAATCTAACACTCCTTCATAATAAAGGTCTTGAAGAGATCAGGGATAACAGGAACATAACTAAGCATATTAAAAGCAATATACAGTAAACCAATGGCCAACATCAAACTAAATGGAGAGAAACTCAATATGATTCCTCTAAAGTCAGGAACAAGACAAGGTTGTCCACTTTCTCCATATCCCTTCAATATGGCAATTGAAGTTCTAGCTAGAGCAACAAGACAACAAAAGGAGATCAAGGGGGATACAAATAGAAGTATGACTCACTATTTGCAGATGCTATGAAAGTTTACATAAGTGACCCCAAAAATCTCTGCCAAGGAGTTCCTACAGCTGATAAACACCTTCAGCAAAGTGGCAGGATACAAGATTAACTCAAAAAAAAAAAAAAAAAAATAGCCCTAGACGATAAAGGGACTGAGATCAGAGAAACATCACCCTTTATAATAGACACAAACAACATAAAGTATCTTGGGTTAATGCTTACCAAACAAGTGAAAGACCTATATAGCAAGAACCTTGTGTCTTTCAAGAAATAAACTAAAGAAGATACCAGAAAATGGAAAAATCTCCCATGCTCATGGATAGGCAGGATTAACATAGTGAAAATGGCAATCATGCCAAAAACAATTTACAGATTCAATGCAATCCCCATCAAAATCCCAGCACAATTCTTCACAGACCTTGAAAGAATAATACTTGAAAAACAAGCAAGCAAGCAAACAAACAAAACCCAAACAGCCAGCCAAAATAACCCTGTTATAATAAAGGAACTTTTGTAAGCATGACCATCCCTGACTCCAAGCTCTACTATAGAGCTATAGTCCTGAAAACAGCTTGGTATTGGCATAGAAACAGACAGGTAGACCAATGGAGTCAAATTGAAAACCCTAATATTAACTCACACACCTATGAATACCTGATTTTTGACAAACAAGCTAAAATTATACAATAGAAAAAAGAAAGCATCTTCAATAAATAGTGCTGGCACAACTGGGTGCTGTCATGTAGAAGACTGCAGATAGATCCATATCTATCACCAGGCACAAAACTTAAGCCCAAATGCATCAAAGACCTCAACATAAACCCAGCCACATTGAATCTCTTAGAAGAGAAAGTAGGAGGTATCCTGGAAAGAATTGGTACAGGGAACTGCTTCCTGAACGTAACACCATTAGCACAGACACTGAGATTGACAATTAATAAATGGGACCTCCTGAAACTGAGAAGCTTCAGTAAGGCAAAGGATACTGTCAACAAGACAAAACCGTAGCCTAAAGAATGAGAAAAGATCTTCACCAACAGAGGGCTGATCTCCAAAATATATAAAGGTCTCAAGAAGCTAATGTAAAATGGCTGAAAGACACTTAAGAAAGTGCTCAACATCCTTAGCTATCAGGGAAATGCAAATCAAGGCAACTCTGAGATACCATCTTCTGTCAGAATGGCTAAAATCAGAAACATCAATGGCAGTTTATGCTGGAGAGAATGTGGAGAGAGGGGAACACTCCTCCAGTGCTGGTGGGAGTGCAAACTTGTACAGCCACTTTGTAAATCAGTATGGCGGTTCTTCAGGAAAATGGGAATCAGTCTACCACAACATCCAGCAATTCCACTCTTAGGCATATACCAAAAAGATGTATATTCATACAACAAGGACATCTGTTCAACTATGTTCATAGCAGCATTATCTGTAATAGCCAAAACCTAGAAGCAACCTAGATACCTAGATGCCCCTCAACTGAAAAAGTGGATGGAGAAAATATGGTACATTTATATAATGGAGTACTACTCAGTGGTATAAAAAAAAAAACAAAAAAACAAAAACAAACAACCAAAAAAACAAAACCATGGAACCTTGAAATTCACAGGCAAATGGATGGAAGTAGAAGAAACCATCCTGAGTGAGGTAACAAGAAGACAAACATGTACTCACTTATACATGGATTTTTAGACATAGAGCAAAGGATCATCAGCCTACAATCAGCCTATAATCCACACCACCAGAAAAGCTAGGAAACAAGGAGGACCTAAGACACATGGTCCCCTGAGAAGAGGAAGGGCACAAGCAAATTGGGAGTGGGGGAGAGGGAGTTATGAAAAAGAGAAGGGGAGAAGAGGAGGGGAGAGGAGGACATGAATGAGCAGGAATATTGCATCAGGGAAGAATAGAGGAGAACAAGAAAAGAGATACCATAATAGAAGGAGCCATTATAGGTTTAAAGATAAATCTGGCACTAGGGAATTGTCCAGAGACCTACAAGAATGACCACAACTATCTAAGCAATAGTGGCTACCTTAAATGCCCTTTCTGAATAATGAGATTGATGACTATCTTATATGCTGTCCTAGAGCCTTCATCCAGTAGCTGATGGAAGCAGAAGCAGATACCCACACCTAAACACTGAGATGAACTTCTGGAATCCAGATTCAGAGAAGGAGAATTGGTGAGCAGGCTGAAGAAACCCACAGAAACAACTGACCTGAGCTTATGAACCCCAGACTGATGACTGGGAAACCAATATAAGACTGACCCAGACCTCCTGAATGTGGGTCTGATTTAGGAGGCCTGGGAAATGTATGGTACCTCTGACAATGGAATCAGGATGTGAAGGAATGAACTTCAGGAGCCTATTCCCCATGGAGGGATGGCCTAGGCCCTACCCTAATGATTTGACAGATTTTGATGATCCCTCATGGAAGGCCTCACCCTCACTGGGAAGTGGATGAGGGGTGGAATGGGGGTGATTGTGGGGGAAATGGGAAGATGGGATCAATATTTAAAATAAGAAAAACTATATTAAATTAAAAATAACTAAAACAAACAGACAAGCAAAAAACAAAAGCACACATCAACAAAAACAAAGCAAAAAAGAAACAATAGCAAAAGCAAACCAAGTACCCTCAAATTAAGATGATTTAACAAAGAATTGTGTCTGAAAATAAAATTCATTTTATTACTACAATTAACATTCTAAGACCACTGGACATTGTTCAGATACAACTTTCCTTTGTTTAGGGTTGTGAAATGAAGGCAAGCTCTCTAGGGTCCACTTTTGGACCATTGCTTTCTAGTGTAGATCTAATGTGTAAAGTTACTCACTACTAGATACAGTGTTCTCTCTACTCTAAGTTACTCACTAGTAGTTACAGTTGCCTTCCCTACTCTGTGGGCTCTGCATCTTATGGATTCAGCTGAGTGAGTCAAAAATACTTTTAAAATTGCAGCTGTCTTGAACATGTACAGACTCTTGCCTTGTTACCTCCTAAATGACACAACAGGACAACTATTGTTAGTAGTTTAAAGACTTACACTCACAGGATGGTGTGCATAAGGCACATAAAAACACTGCCATTTTCTAAAAGGCACAATGTAGATTTTTGTCATCTGTGGGAGTTCAAGGACTACTCCTAGTGGACATCAAGGGATGCTTTGTATTAGGTTTTCCATCCACAGAATAGTTGGAAGAAACTTACCATAAAGAAATTATTACAAGTAAAATGTAGTTGGCTTTTTTTCTCATGCAAAGTCTGTCTTTGACTTTGATGTACACAGAGCAGCCCTGGGCTGTTTTTCCTGCACAAAATATATCTTATCAATCTAAAAGCATGCTCTCCATAAATCTTAATGGGTTGGCAATGGATCTCTGTGGTAGGAGGGTTTTCATTTTCCTTATGTTCTGACTTAAAACATTTTTCCTAAGACTATGATATAGGTAGTATGTATTTCACAGGGCTATTGAGGGGTTATTAAGATAAAATATGCAAAGTACTTTGACAGTGCTTTGCTCACTTGTTTTATTAATGTGCTTGGTGTGACTTCAGATATTCATACCTCACCCTCATTCATGCAGCAATTTTGTGTTGATCATTGTTGTATATTATTTTTGACATTATCCTATTGTCTTTGAATTTACTGTTGTGGACGAAAAGTCTTCTGACATGGTGATTGTTTTCTTTATAGGTGAGGACTCTGGGAGGGTTGCTGTTTGTATTTGATGTTTGTGCTTTCAGTATTATTTGTATATCTTGTTCTAGTGCTTATTTGATATTTAAAATGCTTTTATTATATTTTCCACATCTATGTGTGTTAGGAATGATTAGTTCCTCCCCATAGTGGTTTGAATATCCCCCCCCCATTGGCTCATATGTATTTGTAGGCGTAGTCCCTAGTTGAAGGATTAGGAAGCAGGCCTTATTGGAGTAGTTGTGTCATTGTTGGAGGAGGTTTCAAAAGCCCATGCCAAGCCAGGCCCAGTCTCTGTTTCTCTGCATGCTGCATGTGGATCAGGATGTAAATCTCTTAGCTACTGCTCCAGTGCCATGCCTGTCTGTTTCCCACAATCATAAATGACTGACCTTCTGAAACTGTTAACAAGCCTCCAATTAAATTCTTTTACAAGTGTTGCCTTGGTCATAGTGTCTTCACAACACCAAATGCCTACTTGATACCGGGAAAATTCCACGGATACTGCTTTTGTCTGAACATCGTAATTCACTCTCACTTCCCCTAACTTTATTGTTAGTGGGTTTAAAGGCCCATGCTTGATGAGAAGAGCTGGCCCTACATTTGAGTGCAGTGCACCTGCAGTCCTTGCCCACACCCCAGGTGCTGGCCTACTGGCCTGGGCTGCCTTCAGTTTCTAAGTCTCCAGCAGTTCTTGGGAACTTTGTCAGCACATGCCTGGTGAGGGAATTCTGTCTCTTGACCAGTTTCCCTTTTCTGTTCTTTGGGGCTGTTCTGATGAATGTGGCCCTAGAGCATTTGGTAATACCTCTGGTTCCTTAGGAACTGCTGGCATAGTCAGTGGCTTTATTGCTCTTTGCACAAAGGTCCCATGTCTCTGGAAAGGAAGACAAAGATGACATTATCCAGGGAAGCACAAGCTGTGACTGAGTGTGATGAAGGAACTTATTTGTCTCCCACTCTATTGACTGTCACTTCAGTCCAAAACTAAAGACACCACAAGAAGTTTTGGTGCACCTTGTAACAGGCAGTAAATAATTGAAGCAGAGAATTGCAAAGCAGACAGCCAATGAAGTGCCTGTGCTTTTGTATCACTGCAGTGTACACCACCATTTGTATCAAATTTTATTTTTTGCTTTGTAAGTTGCTATGACTGCAAATGAAACTACAATTCAGAGAATTGATGATTGTGTCAAAATGTCCAAAAATACTTACAGTGAACAATGAAAACAAACATCTGTATAGTTGAAAACATCCTAGCAACTATTGAATTCCATTCTGCTTATAAGAACATCTGAGATTTTATCACTATTACTTTAAGCTAGTGCTCTCAATAAATAAACTAAAACCCCTATGGTTCAAAATCTTTTGTTTTTATATGACATGTAGCTGTGGTTATCCTGCTGTAGATTACATTTGTTTAGATCAACTTTTAGAAAGACAAGAATGATCTAAAAGGCTTAAAAGTTCTCCCATAAGTCTATTCAGTCCTGCAGTACTAAATTAGTTCTGAATACTGCCTCACCTTTCCCGGTATAGGCTCATTGGGAGTTTTCCTGGCATCATATTGATGTATAAAGGAGATGTATTCTACAAAATTGTTTTCATGTTCTCCTGATGCGCTCAGACAGGTAAGTGGAACTAGAAAAAAATGAGATATATTTCAGTGGAGTTAGTATAGTTATATTTGTGTATAGAAATATAAATATTGTGATATTTATGTTTTATGAAACGTAAAAAAATTGCCAGGCATGGTGGTAGACTCCTTTAGTCCTGGCGCTAGGTAGACAAAGGCAATCAGCTCTGTACAGCCTGCTCTACATAGTGTACTCTAGGGCTACAAGATAAGACCCTTTCCAAAAAAAAAAAAAAAAAAAAAAGAGTCAACAGAATTTCATTGTTACTTACTCATACTTCAATATTATGGATCCAAAATTTATTCTGCATGAAAAGATCTAAACCAAAATAAATTTACTTTATGTGTCTGAGCATTTTGCCTGCAAGTATGTATATGCACATATGTGCCTGATACGTTCAAAGTCTAGAAGAGGGTGTCAGATCCCCTAGGACTGGAGTTACCGAAGATTGTCATTGAAGAACAGTCAATGCTGATAAACACTAAGCCATTTCTTCAGCTCCTATTATTAGATACGCTTTTAAACAGACACCAATATGCTTTTGTGAAAACATAAGTTGTTTGTCAAATTGGTTTTGACTACTGAGTGATTATTGATGATGACCAAAGAACTCTGTGCTGACATCACTGAGACCCCCAGGATGACACAAATTCTTTACACTTCAACCCAATAATGAAGGTTCCATTCATTTGCAATGCCCACCTGCTGCTAACAAAGAGTTGAATGAATTCTGTCAAAGAAAATACTTCAGATTCTCCTTTTAACAAATATAAATATGGATGTAAGAATTTGCATATCCTTGGTATATCTCTGGAATAATGCATAAGAAATAGATTCCGGTGGCTGCTGTAGGGAGAGAATTGTCTGACTGAGGAAAGGTGGAAAGAGGTGGATTAAATTTTAACTATATATTTTTATAGCATTAAAATGATAAAAATTACTAAAATGTAACAAAATAAAATTTTTACAACTCATGCCTTTATGCTGGAAGTGTTGGTATGTGCCAATTGCAGCACTCAGACAGGAGGAATACCACAAGTTTGAGACCAACCTGTGCTATAATGAATTCAAGGACAGCCTTGGATATACAGTGAGACTCTACCTCAAACAAAAAAAGGACAAAATAAAGAAACACATGGTTTTTGCCAGTGTGACAGATTGTTGCCTAACATGGTGGTACACGCCTTTGCTCAGTGACTATGATGATAGTCTGGTCTACATGGCAAGTTCTAGGTCAGCAAGGGTAATATAATGAGACCCTGCCTAAAACAAACAAATAAACATGCCCTAATTTGGAGGAATAAATAAGAACAGATAATACATTAATAAGTTATACTTATTAAGCATTTAGGAATTCAATTTTATATTCAGATGTTGACATAAAATACTTTTTTCTAACATGAATGAGTATTCAAGGATTTATAAAAATACATACATTTCTCCACTTAACAGGACAGAATACAAAACAATATTTTCTTGGTTTCTAACTAAGAGCAGCAGACATTTATTCTTAGCTGTTGTCTTTCTCTTAGGATTTGTGAGCACACCAAGAAGAGCAGGTGCCAACAACATAAGACCTGCAGCACTGAGATTCCATAATTTATATTCTTCTTGCAAACTGGAAAAGACTCCCTTTCTGTGAATATCTTATTTTCACTATCAGATCATTGAGGCTTTCCCTAGTCTTAGAAGGTGACAAATTCTTAGATAAAAGGAAGTGCCTCTGTATCTTAGAATTACTCAGTGATTTATGGAAAAGCCAAAACATGAGCTATGGTAGCATACAGATATGTTTTCAAATTCAGGCTTGACCACATATTCTGGCTTTGAAGAATTTGGGTGCAGCTCACTTAATTTTATTGAGGTTGTTTCCTCTCTTCTAAAATGTACATAATTTGTGTCCCAGTTTCATTTCTGTTACTTTGCTAAAATATCCTGCACAAAAGGAACTTTACCAAAGGGGCTGGTTCAATTTACAGTTCCAGGTTATAATCTGTTATCTCAGAGCAGTCCAGGTGCAGTGACTTAAAATTGTTAATCATATCTAACCCACAGCCAAGAGCAGAGAGAAATGGATCCACACCAGCTTCTAGCACTTAGCTCACTCTTACACAGTACATGATCCCACACCCAGGAAATGGTGCTGTCCAGCGTGGGCTGAGTCTGCCCACAGTGACTAATATAATCAAGCTAACCCTACACTCTTCTTTTTTTTCTTCAAGGACTTGGTTTATTATTTTATAATTTTCTCATGGAAAAGTAAACTTCTGAATAATGTTCTCTACATAATATGAATTAAATACATGAATATAGACTTAGAACATAGCTTGATTTAATTAGATTTATTATTTATCTCTTGGCTAAAAACATTCTGCACAAGTCTTACATAATTTTTAGTTTCTCCATTTTTTCCTGCATTACCTCCAGTTAATAGTGTTTAGTGTAGATTTGGAAGACCACTGTAAATTGTACAGTAAAGTAAGATTTTAAAATCTAATAAGGGTGGACCCCCATCACCAGGCCTCTGCCCAAGGGCCAGGGACTCACCTGTCCATGCCTGATCTTAGACCCCCATCGCAGGGCCTCACAGAGACCGCCATTGTAGGCCTCTGCTGGAGTGTCGGGCCTCTACCAGGGACCTATCCTGGTAGGGACCACCTGCCTATCCACTAGGGGCCACCTGAATCCCCACCTGCCTGATATTTGAACCCCATCGCTGAACACTTGCATGAAGAGAGATCTCATAGAGAGCTTGAACCACCCAGAGCTACAGATATCGATCTCCTGACCCACCTAAGCCCACTTAGAGTAGCTTAGAGAGAGAGAGAGAGATACCCCCACCTGCACCCACTGGAAGAAGCAATGGGAAAATGGAGATACAAAAAAACACCTAACAATAGAAAGACAAGCATGACACCATCAGAATCTAAGGATTCTACACAACTAGACCTGAACACACCAAAGCAGATGAAGCAGAAGAAAATGACTTAAAAAATATCTTCATGAAAATGATAGAGGCCCTCAAAGATGACATGAGGAAATCCCTTAAAGAAATGGAAGAAAAAAAAACAAACAAAAATTGGAAGAATAGAGGAAAAGACCATGCAAAAAAATGCAAGAAATGAAAAATCTCTTAAAGAAAATAAGGAAAGCTGAGAAAAAACAGTTGAAGAAAACAACTCACACACTTCAAGACTTGAAAACTGAAATAGAGACAATAAAGAAAACACAAACTGAGGGAATGCTGGAAATAGAAAAACTGGGCGAATGATCAGGAACTACAGATGCAAACATAACCAACAGAATACAAGAGATGGAAGAGGGAATCTCCAGCACTGAACATAAAATAGAGGAAATAGATTCATTGGTTAAGATTAAGAAAATCTTAAATCCAACAAATCCTTAACAGAAAACATCCAGGAAATGTGGGACACCATGAAAAGGCCAAACCTAAGAATAATAGGCATAGAAGAAGGGGAAGAAGCCCAGCTCAAAGGTGTAGAAAACATATTCAACAAAATAATTGAAGAAAATTTTCCCAATCTGAAGAAGGACATGCCCATGAAAGTACAAGAAGCATACAGAACACCAAATAGGCTGGACCAAAGAAAAAAGACCCCTCAACACATAATAATCAAATAAAGAAAGAATACTAAGAGCAGCAAAGGAAAAAGGCTAGGTAACATATAAGGGCAGACCTATCAAATTTACACCTGACTTCTCCATGGAAACTCTCAAGGCCAGAAGGTCCTGGATAGATGTTCTACAAGTACTAAGATTCCATGGATGCCAGCCCAGGCTACTATACCCAGCAAAACTCTCAATCACTATAGATGGAGAAAACAAGACATTTAATGGCAAAGCCAGATTTTTAACAATATGTGTCTAAAAATCCAGTCCTACAGAAAGCTCTGGAAGGAAAACTCCAACCCAAGGAAGTTAATAACAATCACAAAGACATAGGCAATAAATAATCCCACTTCACCAGAACCCAGGGGTAAAGCAGGGCAAATATATTCACAATACCACCACCACCAACAACAACTCTAAAACAAACAAGCATTAACAATTATTGGTCCTTAATTTCCCTCAATATTAATGGTCCTAACTCTCATATAAAAAGACACAGGCTAACAGAATGGATAAAAAGACAGAATCCATCCTTCTGCTGTATGCAAGAAACACATCTAAGCTAGACATTACCTCAGGGTAAAGGGCTGGAAAAAGATCTTCCAATCAAATGGACCCAAGAAGCAAGCAAGTGTGGCTATCCTAATATCTAACAAGTTACACTTCAAACCAAAATCAATCAAAAGAGAAGAAGATGGTCATTTTGTATTCATCACAGGAGAAATAAATCATCACAAAGTCTCAATTCTGAACATCTATGCCCCAAATACAAAGGCACCCACATTCGTAAAAGAATGCTACTAAAACTCAAAGCTCACATAAAACCTCAAGCACTCATACTTTGAGACTTCAACACCCCCACTCTAACCAGGACTACCAGACAGGAAGTTAACAAAGAAACAAAAGAACTAACAGAAGTTATGTCTCAATTGAGTCTATATATGTCTCAACAGACATATATAGAACATTCCATCCAACCACAAAAGAATATACCTTGTTCTCTGCTCCACTTGGAACCTTCTCTAAAATCGACCACATACTAGGCAACATAAAAACCTCAACAGATACAAAAAATTGGAATAGTCCCCTGTATCTTATCAGACCACCATGCTTTAAGGTTGGAATTCAACAACAATACAAATTGCAGAAATGCTACAAACTCATGAAAACTGAACAATGTGCAATTGCACCATACCTGGGTCAAAGAAGAAATAAAGAAAGACATTAAGGACTTCCTAGAATTCAATGAGAATGAGGCTACAACATACCTGAACTTATGGGACACCTTGAAAGCAGTACTGTGAGGGAAGTTCATTGCACTAAGTGACCATATGAAGAAAATGGAGGATAGTCACATTAAAGAATTAACAGCAC